GAGCACAAGCTGAAGATGCCCGGGCTCCCTTACAGGGGACATTGAGGCCTGCCCAGTAGGCAGGCACTCCCTGCTCTGGGTTGGTAGCCTTAGTGTAGGAGCTTAAAACTGTTTTGGGCAGTGGTCCTAGCATACAGCAGGGCAGGGTTTGGGGGGGTTGCTGGGGGGCTGGGTTGTGCATAAGAAAGACAGCCCTGCAGAAGGAGCTGGGGGAGGGGGGTTTGTGCTCTCTTCCGGGACAATCCGCCCCTGGATAGCAAACACTCACCCGTCCAGATGGAACTTCTCAGCACCTAAACATGGACGCCTGGTATTCCAATGACCCGCGGACAAAAGGGAGAACTTGGAGGGCAGGGCGGGGACGAGTAGAACACAGGACTCCCTGCCGCAAAAGCTGAAGGTGCACCCATAGCTCTGCCCTTTAAAGGATGTCTTTAGAGGCCAGGTCTCCCCCTGACCTCAGGGCTCACTGTTTCTGGTAGGCTGCCTGGCCATTGAGACCTTGGAATCCATCTGTCTCCACACCTGCCTCCCACCCTCAGCAATGGGATTACAGATGTGAGCCACTGCACCTGGCTTTTGAGTGGGTGCGGGAGATCCTCACTCAGTTTCTCGTGCTGCATAGCGAGCGCTTTACCGACTGAGCCGTCTTTCCAGTTAGTCTGTCTTTGGGTCAGTCTCGTCTCTATATGCCTTGACTCTGGGTAATGTCACTGGAACAGAGGTTGACATGGGACAGTCTGTGCCAGTATCACACTGACATGTCAACACCTCGACCTTTGCAGTCTTCCTGCTCCTACGGAACCTGAGACTGAGTTAAAACGTGGACAGAGTCACTATGGGTCCCGTTTACACCTTCCTTCTTTTAGTGCCTCTGAGGCCAAGGCCAGGCCAATTACACCTGGGCGTGTTGAGAACACTGAACTCTGCCTGAGCCGATGAGGGCTTCCCTGCATGTTGGTTTATTCACAGGGAAAGCTAGCTTAGGCTTCTTGTCCTCTGTCTCCTGGCCACAGCTCTGTACCTTAGATTATATTTCTGGAATTGTCTGTTGGAAGTAGAAACTTGTGCCTCTGGTAAGGGAGCATGTACTTTGTAGAGCGCTAGTTGGGGGTGGGGTGGGGTAGAATTGAGGACTGGGGAGTGTTCTGCATGGTTGGGCTGTTTCTCAGCTCACGTGATCTTGAAGTGGGAGGGTTCCCATTTTTGCTGCTGGTGTCCAGGTGGTGGGTTTGCTCCTGGCCCTGCTGTTCTGTGCTCTCCGCTGCCCTTTGCTGGAGTGGGTGAGGTGCCCAGCAGTGTGAGCCTAACACTGTCCTTGTGGCATTCTGGTCAAGCGTTCTGTCTGTGCAGTATGGAACAGGGGTGGTGTTAGATCTCCTCTCTGTGGTCTTTGACTCATTAGGATGCCGCTCTGCTCCACCATCTCTGAGTCAGGATGAGAGACCCTGGCATCTCTTTTCCCCTGCCACCTTGCTGAATGCTCACAGTGACCCTGGGGCAAGGTGATCAGAATGCACAAGCCCACCAGGCCAGACCACAGACACCTAAAGGACATGTGATCATCTTAAACTGGGCATTCTAAACTATTTTAAGACTTATTGCATGGGCCAAGTACTGGGTATTTTCCAAACTTAAACTGCTGCCCACAGGCCAGGCCTAGACCTGAAGAGATGGTCCCTGAGGCCCAGTGAGCTGTTACAAAGCATGGGTTGTGACACCTTGGCAAAGGGGCAGGACATGGTGCCACCTTTGTTCTGCCACCACATTCATTCTTTCTATTTCTGGCCGTGGAGGAACTCAGGGACCCAGGGGCGGACTGAGGGTGGAGGGACAGCAGGACCCTGTGGAGCCCTTCTGAGCTGAGCACAGCTCTGGGAGCTTATGTCTGCTCTGCTGGGTTTTCCTCCTGTCTGCCTGTGGAGAAGTGCCTTCCCAGCAGGGAAAGCAGCCCCACTCTGCCCCATTCTGAATTATGCTTATCAAACCTGAACAACTGTATGTTGGCTCATGTGTGACGGAATCAAGGTTCTGGAATAAGTGGGAGTTCTCTGGAGGAGTGTAACCTCTTCATGTATGGTGGCACCCTTGACATCCAGTCTTATCAGAGTCACATAGATGACTTAAAAAAATTGGCATCAGAATGTTTTCCTAATTGGCAGATTTGATTGACAGAACAGTCCCCAAAGTCCCATAATTGAGCAAACAGCTTGTCACCACACAAATAATTAAAATGCCATTTGAAAAATGTGCGCTGTGACAAGCGCTAACTTAAATGTTGCTCACAGTTCCTCATCTGAACACAGATTTTCAAATGACTTGGGCCCTTTTGTCGCCGTTTCCAGCCACTGTAGAGCAAGTGACATTTACTGAGTTGGTTCAAGCGTGATGTGGGGGCTCTGGCTAGGAGACCCTGTTCCAGCTAGGGTGGTGAGGTCTTGGAAGGTGGCAGCCTCTACTGGCTGTCTCTGTGCCCGTCAGAGAACTGGCGGCAGCCAACTGTACAGTTCCCATTTTTGTTTTCGAGTGTTTCCCTTCCTACGGTCCTCCAACATGGCATGCCACATGAATTTAGCGGCAGATGGAAATCACAGCCATTCCGACGTGCACACTCATCCCCTCCGGCAGAGGCACACATCAAGCTGTTGTTACCCAGGGCCGCGAGTTCGTTCAGATCTCATTTCGCTTTATAGACTGCTTGGAGCAGGAAGGTTTCCTCTTGAGCCAGGGCCTCCAGCCCATCCTGCCTGAGGAGAGCGCCTTTGTCGGGAGCATTTATCATGGGACTCGGGCTCCAGGACCGGGGTTGCCTGTCCAGAAACCTCTAGGATGTCGGTTCAGGAGGACGAGTGCTCCTGGTGGGATCTGCAGATACTGGAACAGGAAGGGACTTTGGTTGAGCTTTTATGGTGGCGCTGACTGAGGCGCAGAGAGGATTCCTCTGTTGTCAGTCATTCTCCCCACAGTTCACTACCACGGCCTGAGTTTTGGCGGGGTGGACTTCAGTATGTTCTGGACCTTAGAATGAAGGAATTCATCTTAAGTAGTGCAGTATGTTCTGGACCTTAGAATGAAGGAATTCATCTTAAGTAGTGCAGTGTGTTTTTCCTTGAGCTGGCAACTTTGGGTTTTCAGATCATAGCTGCTATCTACACTCTGACTCACACAGACCTCAGGTCTGCCTCAGATAACCGGATTGCAGCCCATACATAGTCTGTCTCCATTGACATGGCCGCTGATCCCAGAATTTATTCACAAGCTTTGTGACTTCCAAGAGCACTCCTCCAGCCCTGGTGGCTGTGTGGTCATTCATTTTTAAAATTTTTTTTTTAGGCAAAAACCTGAAGAGAGCAGGGATGACTGGACTATGTTGTCTGCTTTTTTCAGTATCTGGCTCCACACAGAGCCAGGTCTCCACACAGAAGTGGGGGTGCTGTGTGAGTGTTCCCTATGACTCCTCAGTCCTGAGCAGCATCAGGCTGTGTAAATCACTTCTTGAGTGAGTAGCCATGGTGGAAAAGCTTGTATGGGAGGCTATCTGGGTGGCCATAAGGCAGGCCGGGAAAAACAGAGGCAGGAACAGTCTGGAAGGAGACGGAACACTCCCTGAGCCAAGGAAGGAGGAGAGCCGTGTGCATGTTGTCTGTATAAAGGGATGTGAAAGTGGTGTGCCAGTTGATTTATTTATTTTAGTCCACTTGACACAAACCTAGGCATACCTGGGAAGAAGGAATCTTAATTGAGAAAATGCCTTTGTAAGATTGCCCCATAGGCCAGCCTGTAAGATATTGTCTTACTTAAGGATTGATATGGGAGGACCCAGTTCACCGTCGGCAGTGTCATTTATCCCTGGGCTGAATAAGCCACGCGGAGCAAGCTAGTAAGCAGCGTTCCTCTCTGGGCTCTGCTTCAGCTCCTGCCTCGAGTTATGGCTCTGCTTCCCTCAGTGACAGAGTGTGACCAGACAGCGTTAAGCTGAAATAAACCTAACCTATCCTCCCTAGGTTGCTTTTGGTCATTGTTTTATCACAGCAGTAGAGAGACCATTAGGGGCATGCCTGCTTTGGGGGCAGTTGGCTTTTTCCATTCAGTCCAAGCCATTAGCAAGTACTTTGCAGGGTACTATGACTTGGGAGGCAGAACAAGTACTAGGTTGGAGGAGGAAGCCGTAGAATTGAACTCAGGGGGAAGCTAATTTGCTGACTTGCTTTCTGTGAGACACGTAAAAGACGATGGTCCTGAGCCTTACCCTGCCTCCCAGCCTCAGCCTGTAGGAGCCCCTAGAAGAGCTGCAGGATTCAAGGTCTGTGGATTCTGTGACTTCTAGGAGTCTAGGGGGCAGGGGGGTGAACTGGCGGGTCTTGTTAGGTCCAGGAAGTGCCCTAATTGTTTGGAGTTGAATATGTGGAATTGATGAAATTGGATAGAAGAGAATTGATGGTGTTTGGACTGTAGACATTTGAACTCTCAGGGCTTGGCCCACAGCCTTCAGTGGAAAGAGAAGAGGGACAAATGTGTGTGTGCGCGTGTGTGTATGTGTGCGCGCGCGCCCGTGTGTGTGTGTGTGTGTGTGTGTGCGTGTGCGCATGCATGTGTATATGCATGTGAACAGATATGTGACTCTGGATCAGAATGGACACAGTCCTGTTCATCAGGCATGTGTGTAAGTGTGTGTGTGTGTGTGTGTGTGTGTGTGTGTGTGCGTGTGTGACTGTCTGCATCAGAATGGACGTAGCCCTGCTCACCAGGTGTGGAATCACACTCGTTAAAAGTGAGTGATGAGAGTTGATAAACCGGGAGTGAATGAGGAGCAACAGCCCCTCCCCCTCTACAGTGAAGTCATGTATGAATGGGGCTATTGGAGAGTTCATTGATAAATCTAAAGCCATATGGCAAATGACCACCCAAGAGACCCAGTTGACTAAGTCATTGATTCAGGCCTAATGCATTTTTAATGGTTACCCAGATGCGTCTCCTAATTACATCGCCATGTGTTCCAGAATAAAACACGAGTCATCCTCCAGTGATGAAGAACACTCTGCTGCCAAGCCATCCAGCTCAAGCCACCTCTCTCTTTTGTCCAACGTCAGCTACAAAAAGACCCTGCGGCTCACGTCGGAGCAGTTGGTGAGTCTTGTGCTCTTAGTACAGGTCATGGCCAGATAGAGTTAGGGCTTTCTTGAAGGTTTTGGGGTTCCTTCTACTTTTGTGCTCACTTAGCCCTTCCTAGGACCTTTCTTATTCTGTCATGCCTGCTGGTGACCTCACACCCTTACTTTGGTACCCTGTGTTTCCGCCCTGACTTTGTATCTGCTCGTGTGGACCGCTACATGACTTTGCACTCTGAGTTGCTTTTTTTCTGACCTAGGAGGAGGAGGTAGCTTTGCCTGAGCCCATTTATCCTCGTTACTAGTGGCCGGGAGACTTTGGAATGTCTCTCATGAGTGCTTTTGCTTTGAGAGAGATGCCTGTTAACTCAAATGCATCTATAAAATAGCAGGTGTGATGGGGTTTAGAGGATTTTAGGAAACAGATGCCCCCCCCCCCTTTGTGTGTGTGTGTAGAGAGACAGAGAGAGAGAGAGAGAGAGAGAGAGAGAGAGAGAGATTAGATTAGTTTTAATGAGGTCTTTCGAACCCTGGACTTAACTTCAAATCAAGGTCATCCAGTGTAGGTATCTCTGCTTTTCTACACTAAAGTCTGTGCATCTATTGCAAGAATTTATGGGGAGCAGGTTTTGATAGGATGGTATTTAATGGGACAAGATGACCCCACATTAGCCACTTGTAGCACCCCAGGGGACACTTAGAGTCAACCGTGTGGATCTGTGGGTCAGCTGCCCTGTCTTAGAGTGTACCAGCAAAGACTGAAGATCGGCCAAAGGTAGTTTTGTTTCCTGAATTTGGTTTAACATGCTTGGGCCTAGTCTTTGATTTCAAAGACTAGGCCTCTCTTTCCAGTCTGTGTTATTATAAAATCAATAAAAACCTGCTATTGAGGGAGACATGTTTGCTGTCATATGTTTGCGTTCTCACACCAAGACCCTTCTCATTTCTTTGGTGAAGCCTGGCAGCCGCTGGTCACTTAGCTCCGTGCACTCACTCTCAGTGCTGGGTTAAGTCAGTGAGGCTCTTAGAAGCAGAATGCTTTGTAAAGGTTCGGTGGCTGCTTCCCTGGTGGGGCCGGGGAAAGCTAGGACTGACTTAGGTTGCCTGTCCAGCCCTGAAAAGAATTACAGCCAGAAACAGAAGAGAGAATGTCACAGTGGCCTAGGCAAGCCAGGTTTGATTTTAAAGCCTGCAGAGGCCAAACCACCCCTGCATCTGGACCTCCCTGTTGAGCACACAAATGGTTCATGTTTTTCAGAAAAGCTTGAAGTTGAAGAATGGCCCCAATGATGTGGTTTTCAGTGTCACCACGCAGTACCAGGGCACCTGCCGTTGTGAAGGCACCATCTACCTGTGGAACTGGGATGACAAAGTGATCATCTCAGATATCGACGGGACCATCACAAGGTGGGTCTGACCACAGCATGGTCTGGAGCTGGCTTCCATTGCACTCTGAGCAGTGTCGTGGGAGCTGGAGCGTCCAGTTTCTGGTGCATCTGGAACTGTGCAGATAGGGGCAGTACTTTGGCTGCCACTAGGGTCTGGTGACTTGTTTCTGATGGGTATCATCTCCCTAGCCTGGTGGGTTTTGGAGAACGTTGCTCTGGAATGGTTAGCAGCCCCACAGTTGGGTTTGGCAAACCCAGTCCTCGGCATGATGGCTCACCATGGCCTTCCCGTAGTGTCCTCACTTGACTCTGTGAGCCTGGGCTTTCCATTGGCTCTTATTCATGCTATTACTTCTTTTGGTTTTCTTTTTTATACATTTTTGTGGGTGCACCCATGTGTGCATAAGCTTGGACCTCAGGGGTCAATTTGGGGACAGTCTGTTCTCTCCTTCTGCTATGTGGGTGCCTGGGATCAAAGGCAGCGAACAACTTTACCCTCTGAGCCTTCATTCATAACTATTTTTATGGGGCACAAGTAGTGTATCTAAGCCAATTGGATATTTTTTCTCCTCCTCTTACAGTAGCCTTTGGCTTATTATATGTATTTATCTTTATTTAGATCGGATACTCTTGGTCATATTTTGCCCACACTGGGAAAGGATTGGACCCACCAGGGCATAGCGAAGCTGTACCATAAAGTCAGTCAGTAAGTATAGAGCGCCCGACTCCCATCTTCTGTCCGCCAGTCTGCGACATCCCCCCCCCCCCCCCCCCCCAGTCTCTCTCCCTCCGAGCATGGAGTAGTAACTCGCTTGCTTCCTTAGGGGCAGGTAAGATTGTCTTTCCCCTGGGATTACAAATGAGGCCAGACTCCCTTCTCTCCACAGCAGGGGCCTTCAACTGAGGGTAGCTTTGAGGTCCCCCGCACCACCCTGCTGAATATATAGCAGCATCTAGAGACTTAGTTTTGAGACAGTCTCTGCTTTTGCCTCCCAAGTGCTATGATTTCAGGCACGAGTGGCCATGCTTCAAGGCATTTTTGATTGTCATGATTACTGTGTGCTGTGGGCACCCGGTGGGCGGAAGCAGGGATGCTGTGTCTCACAGTGCATCACTGTAAGCATCTGACATCTCCCTGCTCCAAGATAGCTGTGCTGAGGACCCCAGTCTACAAGCTTGTCTTGGAAAATTTGATGGTGGTAAACCATTCAAAACTATTTAAAGTCTGTCTGAATTGTGGGCTTTGAAATGTTTTTTTTATTTTTATTGTACGTGTGTGTGTGCATCTATATTTGTGTGTGTAATGTGTGTATGTGTGTGCATGTGTGGTGCATATGTGTGTTTGTGTGTGTATTTGTGTCTGTGCATGCCACAGCCTGATTGTGGAGGTCAGAGGGCAGACAGTTCTCAGGAGTTGATTCTCACCTTCCACCTCGCTGAGACAAGGTCGCTCTTGTTTCTACCACTGTTGTGTACTCCAGGCTAGCTGGCCTGATTCTCCGGTTTGTGCTGCCCATCTCGCCATGGGAGTGCTGGCGCGGCTGGCGGATGCCAGCGCATCAGCCTCCCCAGATGGCTGGCGGGTGCCAGCGCATCAGCCTCCCCAGATGGCTGGTGGGTGCCAGCGCATCAGCCTCCCTAGATGGGTTCGGGTGATATGCGGTGGTCAGTTTTGCACTATTTGTCACTTAACCCATTGTACCTACTGGGCCATTTCTCCAGCCCCTGCATTGTCTAATAAAGCCGAGTATAGAGACTGGGGCAGAATGAGAAGCCTGGAAACAGGTTCCCTGCTGTGCTCAGCTCTAGTGCTCTCCAGACCCCTGTGGGGCTCACTGAGAACTCGACAAGCAAGAGCAGACGGTTTATCATGCTCCTTTCCCCATTCCCGCTGCACCCCACTGCTGCTGTGGTTTTTGCCCAGAGCCCTCTATCCTCTTTGAGGACAGGGGCATGCTGAGCCCCATGGGCATCTCTGGCAATCTTGGTCTGTATGGAGGGCTCAGAGCATGTGGCCGAGGGCTGATGGGGGTGGGAAAGTCTGTAGCGTTGCCCTCTCTGTGGTAGACAAGTCTTACCACCCTGCCCCACCCCAAGAAGCACCCTTTCATTCTTGAACTGACCAAGGGCCCCGCAACCACTGTCAGGCTATAGGAAGCATGGTGCTGTCTGGTATGCAGAAGAGGTAAATGGTGGCTTATCGTTATGGAAGGCCACTTTAGATAGGACCCAGGATGCAGTGAGCGGCACTGAAGCTAATTCTCAACTGGAAATAACATTTTACAGAATATAGACTTTTACCTCTGGGCTACTTCCAACCATGCCTTTCTTCGTAGGGCAGGTGGTGAGGGTTCGGGATGCTGAAACGTCCCACCGTACAGTGCTCTTCTCAAGGAGATGGGTTGTGTCTTTCAGGAACGGCTACAAGTTTCTCTACTGTTCGGCACGTGCCATTGGAATGGCAGACATGACAAGGGGCTACCTCCACTGGGTAAACGAGAGGGGCACGGTGCTGCCGCAGGGGCCACTTCTGCTTAGCCCAAGCAGCCTCTTCTCTGCCTTACACAGGTACTGTCCTGCCAGTTGAGACCCTTGCACTGACCTGTTGCCCAGCCTTGTTCTCTCTCCCATTGCAGGTTTTGCAGAATGAGTAGACTGTTGGACTGGAGTGTTATTTGTTTTTTTCTCTTTGCTCTATAGGGCTCTTTGGCCCCCAGCTCCCACATAAATCACACATGGATGCTTATTCTTACTTATGAATGCCCAGCCTTAGCTTGGCTTGTTTCTACCCAGCTCTTCTTAAATTATCCCATTTACCTTTTGCCTCCGGGCTTTTACCTTTATCTTACTTCTATATATCTTATTTTTGTTTTTACTCTGTGGCTGGCTGTATAGCTGGGTGGATGGCCCCTGTCATCCTCCACTCCTTGTTTTATCTTGCTCCTTTCCTCTCTTTTCCCAGATCTCTTCTCCTGTTTATTCTTTCTGCCTACCATCCCTGCCTATCCTTTCTCCTGCCTCACTATTGGCTGTTTAGCTCTTTGTTAGACATCAGGCAAAGAATCACAGCTTCACAGTTAAACAAATGCAGCATAAACAAAAGCAGCACATCTTTACATTGTTAACAAGCGTTCCAGAGCCTAAACAAACATAACACCTTAAAATAATATTCTACAGCACTGGGGAGATGATTCAGTTGATAAATGCCCTTGCCTTACAAGTGCGAAGAGGAGTTTGAGATCCAGAACCACACGTGTGTGTGTGAGTGAGAGAGAGAGAGAGAGAGAGAGAGAGAGAGAGAGATGCATTAGAGATTCCTTGCACAGCTCACCAAAATGCAGCTGCTTTGAATGCATTCATAATAAACTCGAGTCGCCAATAACACATCAGCATCACATTAACAAAGGACTTACCCTTGGTGTCACACTGAAGTGTGACCCTTCTCCTTGGTGCCATCTAGCCCAGAATGAACCCAGATTTGAATTCTCTGCTTCCTTTTCCATCCTCTGCTCTGTCTTCTTGTCTGTCTGTCACGTGTCTAACTCTGCCTCCGTGTTTGTCCCTGTCTCTGTGTGTTTATGTCTGTTCCTAACAAAGGGTTTCTGCTTTGTATTTAGTGAACCACACAGAAAGCATCACGTGAACATGGAATGGAGGATACTTTCCAGAAATCTTTAACAGAGTTTGACAAGAGGTTAGGTCACTGACTCCAGCTGACCCTGACTGACCCAGATAACAAACACCATTGCTTACCAAGCAGTGTCCAAATGTCGTGCTCAACATTTATGGTGGATATTCATTTTATACAATTTGTCTAACCTCTGTTTTTGCTGCTTTCAGTAAGTGGTTATCTCGGCACACACTTGTGATACTTTGGGTCAGGAGCATGGAAGAGTTCATAACTTAAGATTACAGCCATCCATTAGCTTAGGTTGTAAAAACTGATCACATGGGAATCCCAAGGCAATTAAGGCTGATGGTTACATTGTTCTCTTAAAATCAGGTTGAACAAACAGCCTGAGAATATAGCAGGATGGCAGTCTTTGCTCTTGTGAGCTCACAATGGACGCATTATTAACTCTGACTGTGAGGTCCAGCACAGATTCTAGTCTCTTAGGATGCCGTGGGTGTGGTGGCAGAGACAGGTGGATCCCTGAGCCTCACTAGTCAGTCAGCCTCACCTATTTGGTGAGTCCTGGATCAGTGAGAAAGAAACCTTATCTGAAAAGTAGAAGAGGGGACAGCTCCTGAGGAATGACATCTGAAATGGACCACTGGCCCCTGCACTTGTACATGCACCCATTGATTCCCCCCCCACACACACAGACACACACAGACACGAATGTGGTGCACACAGACAGACACACACACATACACGAATGTGGTACACACACACAGACACGAATGTGATGCACACAGACAGACACACAGACACGAATGTGGTGCACACACACACACAGATACACACACACACAGACACAAATGTGGTGCACACACACAGATACACACAGACACACACATACACGAATGTGGTGCACACACACAGATACACACAGACACAAATATAGACACAGACACGCACACACAAAAACACACATAGACAGACACACAAACAGAAAGACACATACACAGACACACAGAGACAGACACAGACATACACATACATGCTTGTGGTGCATACACACAGACTAACATACACAGATACACACATACACATGCCTCTTAGCTGGCCTCTTCTAACTAGTGCCCATGGTCCTCGTGCTCACTTTCCATGCTTAGTGGTGTCCAAGCTATATTGGACCCACTGTTTCAGAACCAAGTTTCATTAAAGGTCTGTTATGATTTGATTAAAAATGCAATGAATCTAGAGGCCAATTTAGAGAGAATGAATAGCTTGATATAATATTGAATCATCCAATTCAAGAATCTGGTATGTCTATTTAGGATTTTCTTCTCTATTATATTTTAGTGAGTTTTTACATTTTTATAATTTATTTATCTTTTTTATTTCATGTGCATTCATGTCTTGCCTGCATGTATATCTGTGTGAAGGTACTGGACCCCCTGAAACTGGAGTTACTTACAGGCAGTTATGAGCTGCCATGTGGCTGCTGGGAATTGAACCCAGGTCCTCTGGAAGAGCATCCAGTGTACTTACCCAATGAGTCATCTTTCCAGCCCTGAGTTTTTATAATTTTAACCAAAAGGTCCTTCATATCTTTTAACCCTTAAATTTTTCTAAGTTTTATAGCTTTTATTTCCCTTTTCTTATGTTGTTATGGTATCCAAAAACCCAGCACTGAACCGCACTGTTTCTGGAGACCCTTGTTTTACTCTCCATAGGAGGTTTGCATAGGGCCTTATGGGAAGCCCAGTCTTCGCCTGGGACTCAGTAGGTAGACCGTGCTATCCCCTGAATTTTTGGCCATCCCCATGCCTCTCCTTCTCTAGTTCTGGGATTACAGGTATTTGATACCAAAACCAGCTTTTTGTAGTAGTTTTTTCTATTTTTGATGTAAGAATTTTTATCCTGGGGCAAGAGAAATGACTCAGCAGTTAAAAGCACTTCCTGTTCTTGCAGAGGAATAGAGTTTGATTCCCAACACCCATGCTAGATGGCTCACAACCACCTGTAACTCTAGCCCCAGGGGATTGGACATCAGCTATTGGCCTGTACAGACCACATACACACACACACTCACACGGCACGTGGACACACTTACATACCAATAACAAGTTAAAAAAGAGTTTTCATCCTAACTAGATGTTGATCAGTGTCTTTGTATCCGAGGTGGTCTCCTTTCTGTTAATCTCAGGGTGTGCGCCGCCATGCATGGTCCCCAGTGTCTTTGTATCCGAGGTGGTCTCCTTTCTGTTAATCTCAGGGTGTGCGCCGCCATGCATGGTCCTCTGTATTTTTCTTACGCTGAGAGTGTGGTTCATTCTGAGTTGAGTGTTTTCCTGGGCTGCTGGGCCAAGTGTATAGCTTGCATATTGAAGACTAGTTTAAATTTCCTAATTTAAATTTCTTTATTTTGTGTGTACAGTGCCACATGTACAGTGGGGTCTGTGTGTGTGTGTGTGTGTCTGTCTGTCCGAGGACAGCATGCAGGGGTCAGTTCCCTTCTCCTAATGTGGCCCTGGGGACTATACTCAGGCTGTCGGACTGGGCAGCTTTTGTGATCCTCTCGCCACTTTAATGCAAACTAAGTCCTCTCATGCTGACCATTTGTTTGTCTGTTTGTTTTAATAGAGAAGTGATTGAAAAGAAGCCAGAAAAGTTCAAAGTCCAGTGTTTGACAGACATCAAAAACCTGTTTTTCCCAAACACGGAACCCTTCTATGCTGCTTTTGGAAACCGACCTGCTGTGAGTACCTGAGGGGTCCGTGAAGCCTTAAGACATTATACTTGGTGCCCAAACTTTCCCCAAGGCCTGGCCAAGGAGTGCATGTAAAATGAGCCTTCTCCTAAGCAGAGAGGTTAATCATATCGGACATGGCCTCCAGTCTTCTCGGAAGGCGTTGGAAGCTGGCGACCTGGGCCGCAAACTTGCAATTGTGTGTTACTCATTACATTAGTGAAACGAGGGCACTGAAGGCACAGGGTCCTTTCTGAGTGATGGGCCCAGTGTGCCAGCCCTGCCTGATGGCAGTGTCGGGTCCAGCGCCCCCACCCTGAAGCATGTAGAGAGATCTCCTGTCTGGAGGAAATGTGTGGAGGTGACATGTGGGACCCAAGCTTTCTAGAAGGTTCAGTTTGAAGCCTATAGCAAAGACTCATAGGGTGGCAGAAGTGTGTGGAGATGTTGGGTATGTGACCCACTCTTGGCAGAAGGTCCTGTATTCTATAGAATATAGCTGGGTGTTAACTGAAAATGAAAATGAATGAAATTTATGCCCTGGCAATGCTGAAGCAGGCATGGGTAGCCCGTATGTGGTGGTTCTGTTGAACTTGTCTAAGTTGATGAGGGATGACTGACCAGGTCTCTTTCTCAAGAGGCCACCAGATCACATTACAGATGGTTGTAATGTGGTTGCTGGGGGATTGAACTCAGGACCTTTGGAAGAGCAGGCAGTGTTCTTAACCCCTGAGCTATCTTTCCAACCCCACTGAGCTGGAAAATTCTACTTTAAAAACCTGTGGCAGATTATTTTGAAATGAGAAAATGGGTCAGAAAATAAGTCTGAGGAGTGCCAGCCAGAGCAGCTGGAGCCGTGGGGACTCAGCTCAGTGTGAACACAGACTGCTCCTCCATTTTCCAGCTGCCTAGACACGGGAACGATATTAATTATAATACTGCTTGGACAATGGCTTAGGGATATTCCTACCTAGTTCTTATATCTTAAACTAACCCATTTCTATCATTACGAGGCTGTGGCTTACTGGAAAGGTTCTGGCGTGCATCTCCTTGACTCCTCCTACACTCTCTGTCTCTGCTTGAATATCCTGCCTGGCTTTACTCTGCTAAGCCATTGGCTAAAACAGCTTCATTCATCAACCATTAAAAGAAACACATACGTAGAAGGACCTCCTGCATCAGCTCAAGTCCTGAAGAGGTGAAGGAACTGAGGCTCAGGAAAGCTAGTTGAATGTGTGCGCATTCCCCTGAGGGGCAGCACTGGTTAGTGAAAATTGGATAATACAACATTCAATGAAAGGTGGTATGTACTTGTTTGTACAGTGAGTTTCGTGCCTCCCCTGACAGTTACATCACTTTTTCTAACCACAGGATGTATATTCCTACAAGCAAGTGGGTGTGTCCCTCAACAGGATCTTCACTGTCAACCCCAAGGGAGAGCTGGTACAGGAGCATGCCAAGACCAACATCAGCTCGTGAGTATTATCTCTTCCCCTGGAACTGCCCCCCCCCACTGTCCTGAAGCCAGCATCACTGTCTGTTGCAGATCCCTTTAACCATTGCTACCTCTGTTTTCATCTTTGCATGTATATGTGTGTGTGGACACATGTATGCAGTATGCATACTTGTATGTGTTCCTATCTATGGAGGTCAGAGGTCAATGTGTCTTCCTCATCATGCTGACCTTATTTTTTGAGGCAGAGTCTCTCATTGAGCTTGGGGCCTACCCATTTGACTGGCCTGGCTGGCCAGTGAGCTCCAAGGACCTTCCTGTGTCCAGCGTGCTAGCACTGGGGTTGCAGGCATGTATAATACCTGACTTTTTATGTGGATGTTGAGAATGTCAACTCAGGTTCTCATTCCTTCAGGGAAGGCAATTTATTAATTGAGCCATCTCTCTAGCCTCTGTTTTAATCTTTAATTCCTCTAAAAATGGAGTTCAATGCCATGTCTTCAGTCTCCAGATTAGTTTTTGGACAATTAGAACGAAGTCAGATCCCTCAGGATGTTAAGTCTCAACTAGAGGGTAGAGTCTTCTGTGGAATGGAATTGAATGAGTTCAGAAACTAGACATTCAGTTGGCTGAGTTAGAATGTCAGTTAGGAATGTAACCCAGGTGACACTTTCTTCCCCATAGTACTGAGGATGGAGCCCACGGCATTGCACTCCAGAGGTGCCCTTCTCAGTCCCTGGCTTAACGCTGTTTGCTTTGCATTGAGACAGGTCCTTGCCATGGAGTCCAGGCTGGCTTTGAGCTTGGTAGTCCTGCTTCTTTCTCCCCAGCATGGGGACTACAGGGTGTGCCACCACACCTGGCTGGTTTGCTGTGTTGAATGAGACATTGTAGGGCATGTGGCATCACCCTTGGCTCTGCCTCAGCTCACATGGGACTCTCATGTCAGCCCTACTGGGTGCATCAGCCCAGGTAGGGTCTGTCACTCTGCCTTGCCCACCGCAGAGGTGGTGGTGTATTGTTTCATGTGATCCATACCAAATGGGAAAATAGCCTAAGACTTAAGTAATGTCAGCACTGGTGTAAGATGAAGAGTTGGGTCTGGGGCGTGGGCTGTAATTCCTCCTGGTGTTGGCGAGGACTTCCCATTCTTTTTGAGCTGGGCATGGTTGTGACTCACACCTACAGTCCCAGCACCCTGGAAAGCAGAAGCAGGAGAATTGCTGTGACTTTTAAGCCTGCTGTAGGCTGCATAGTGAGTTCCAGGCCAGTCTGACTTTCAGAATGAGAGCGCAGTTTTTCACTGTGAAGATGGTCATTTTTTTTTTTAGTCCAGCTTGACCAGAGCAGTTCCAAATGTGAGGGAGCCCTGGCTTCCTGGCTTTGTAGAGAGATCAGGCCTTGGAGCAGGTCGGGTAGGACCCTTTCACTTGTGGTCTTGAGACAGGTGCTCTGAGGTGAATTCTCCATCTTCAGGAAGCATGTATACCAAGACCCAGAGCTTGGTATGATGTTTTCTTCTAATGATTATTAATTTGTGTGTGTGTGTGTGTGTTGTGTGCGTGTGTGTGCGTGTGTGTGTGTGTGTGTGTGCACGTGTGTGTGTGTGTACACGCGCACGTGCATGCACATGTGGAGGCTATTTTCTACTTCCACCTTTCTGTGGGCTCCAGGGTTTGAATTTAGGCTACCAGACTTTTGAGGCAAGCGCTTTTTTACCTGCTGAGCTGCAGGCCCTTGGGTATGGCCAGTTCTAGCCAAACAGGTGCTTGTCCTTGGGCCGTCTCTAAGTGATGAAGTCCCACTGGGCAGAGAACTGAGTTCAGGGCTTTCCTCCTTTATAGGCAGGGAATGTCCTGTCCTTGCTCCAGGGAGCCCATGCCTGGAGGGTGGAATGGGCCACCCAGATGGAGCAGGCACCGCTGCCAGGGCACGTGAGCCTTGCCAGCTTGGTTCTGGTGGCTTCCGCAGCCTGGCAGGGGACAGCTCCTTGTGGGGAGTCCCACACCCCCATAGCCACAAACCTCAGACTAATAGGCCTTCAAGTCAGGAGGTATTTTAAAAATTTGTTTGTTTGCTTTAATCCCCAGGAAAGACATAATTCTTAGTGTAGTAGTAAGAGAGGTTTCCCTGCTTTGTGCAGACGCACTGTTTCTCACGAGTCCGTTGGAGGCCCTTTATTAAACACACACGCAGCCTTATTGAAGAAGTCATTTCGTGCCTCAGAACATGCTAATTCCTGGAGTTTGGGTTTCGAAAGCCCCTTCTGGTTCTCGGCACGAGCGGGTGGAGAGGGACCCAGGGACTGTTAAAGAGGAGTCTAGGCTGTGCGGGAGGGGTTGGGCGTGTCCGCATCACTGTGTGGAGGGGCCTGGAGACAGGAGTCCAGGCTGTGCAGGAGGGGGTTGGGTGTGTCTGCATCACTGTGTGGAGGGGCCTGGAGGTCTTCAAGTTATGGAGCTGCTTTCTTTCTGTAGTGCAGGCTGTGGCTAGGCAACATCTTCCTGGGGACAGAGAAAGTACCCTGAGGTAGGGGGTGCTAGAAACCTGTGTGGTCCAGTCCCACACACTGTGAGGATGAAGGGGTTGAAGCTCAGGGACCGCAGGATACTTGCCCAGAGTCAGACAGTAAGAAAGACTGGGGGAGGCCTCAAGCTTGGGGACCCTCAGCCAGGACTTTTTCCTGAAGCACAGGTGATCCGCCGTTGACTGATAAGTTCCCGGTACATGCTATTGAATTATTGCCCATATTATTCTGTTTCTGACGCTAAGCAAATGGCAGTTTTCATTTCCTTTCCTTTACGGTAGAGGGCGTTGGGGTGTAGAGACGTCCAAGCCTTTGCCTGAGAGCACAGCTGGAACCATAGAGGATTGATGCCAAACCTGCATTTTGATAAGCCCATGGCCCTGCATCTTTTCACTGTGAATGTGGTAGTCTCTGCTGCTCTAAAGATGTGCTTTGTCTGTGGTTCCTCCCCCAACAGCCCACATGTGGCCTCTGTAGAAGCAGATGCCTCTGACTATGCTGGTCTCCCTCCCTCTGTGCATCCCCGCATCTCTGCGCCTGTTGTCTGTTCTTCATGCATAGTCAGACTGGCCCCTCTTGGGAGCGGTCTCCTCTTTACATATTCAGTCTCCCCTTCAAGCTTCCAGTTAGCTCACAAGGCTAGAAAGGCTGTGCTGAGGCAGGGTTGATGGCTGCTCACAGGAGTTGCTATACTCTATTTCTCCCCAGCCCGCAGTGCAGCCCAGAGTCCGGCACTCATCTTCATGTATCTGGTGTGGCTCCATGGGTAATGAACCTACTGTTTTTCTTCGCTTTCAGGTATGTAAGGCTCTGTGAAGTGGTTGACCACGTCTTCCCATTGCTGAAGAGAAGCCATTCCTCCGACTTCCCCTGTTCAGATACTTTCAGTAACTTCACCTTTTGGAGAGAGCCGCCACCACCCTTTGAAAACCAGGACGTACATTCAGCTTCAGCTTGATGCCACCAAGCATTAAAGGATAGGTTCTGGGGACCCTGGAGCTGCTGGGAAGGCTGACATGTGGCCATCTGCCTAAGAGAGAAGTGTTTCTTCCTTGATCTGCCTGCCCTGGGGTGACACTGCTAAGCGTGGAGGGTGGATGGAGGCCGCATCTCATCCCGTGGACTGCGTGAGGATTAGGAGCACTAGTAGCGTGCAAAGTGGTCCTCTGTCTGGGGTAACATGCACAGAGCTGCACACTCCAGCCCGTTCCAGCAGTTAGTCAATGTGCAGTATGGGTGGTGACCCCTCAGGAGAAGTGGGCTGGCTACCGGAGAGCTGTCTCAGTGTTGGCATGCTCCCCCTTCTCCCCCCGGGAACTCTGATGTGCACAGCTTAGGGTAGCACAAGGGGCACGTTTCCATGACAGTGACATCTGTGCCACCTTCCACACAAAGAGATGGGGTTTTTTCAGAGTCTGAGTGCTCTGAAGGGAAGCTTCTGGGGCCTTGATAGGTCCTAGCCCTCAGGCTTTGACTTTATGGCCGCTCCCTTGCAGTATTGCTGACTTAGTTTCACTGTAGGAGATAAGCTCTTGACTTGCCCTGGTTAAAGACGGCCTGTGCCGTTGGTGCATCTCTCCCCACTCCTCATAGCTCAAGGCTGGGCTATTGTTTATGCCTTAACACATCTGCAGCAGGCATTTGCTTCAAGCGCACTGTCTAGTTCTTCGTAACTGCGATGCCTTACATTAAATGATAGCCCCTAAGGCAGCGTCTGCTGTGTCTCATCTGCATCCCACCGCCAGCCAGGAAGCGCCACTAATGAGGACTGGAGCAGCACCTATGCCAAAGGAGAACAATGCAGCTAAAGAAACTGGTTATTTTTAAGAAACATAGTTTCCAGAAGTTAAATTATTCTTTGCAGATATTATTTATTACTTTCCTCTCATTGGGCTGCTGTTGTGAGCATCCTAGCAGACTCTCAGGATTGCAACTGGCATGAGTACATTAAAAGTTAAGTGTGCTAGACAATCCAAAGAGCCTTACTCTGTGTATGTCACACTCATCTTCTAGGATTTCTGAATCATTAATTTTCTTTAGCTTTTTCCATTCAGTCTAAGGGCAAGGGAAAAAAAGCAGGAGTTCTTTAAGCTGATAGAGGGTAGTTGTTGAACTGTCTCAGAACAATGTGAAAAATGAAAAGTATTTTGGTAAAAGATTTTGCTTTACTTTTGGAAGTTTTATTTTTTTAAAGGGTGTTTTACTCCTGAGAGATCTTCCTATTTAAATTTTATTGTTTGAGTCAGAGGAGACAAAAGAAAAAAACAAAACAAAACAAAAAAACCCAAAAACCAACCAAACAAACAAAAAAAAAAAACAAAAAGAAACGGAAAGAGAGTGAAAAAAGACTGGACTGTTACTCTTTCTGTGAAAGAGAACCTAGAGTCACTGTTGTTGTCGTTTTGTGTCTGTTAAAGTCCGGAGTGGTTCATGTAGTTCACAGGAATGGACAAGGAGAGGCAAACCGTACTGCTGTGGACCACAGACGGATGGAGGAGCAGGCTCACGCATATAGTTCCCTTCTGGGAATGATGAACGTAATTAAGCATAGGCCTGCCACAGTGAGCTCGTGGCCTGTCCTCTTGTGACCTTGGGAGGCCACGTTAGTCCGGCCACAGCAGTGTTAGTGTGTATTCTGGTTGCTGTGGATGGCAGACAAGCTCGTCTGCCTGAAGAGGTTCACGGGTCTCTCCTCATGCCCAGGAGAAGCCTTAGGATCTCCCTTCGTCTGCACCCTGCAGTCCTCTGTTCCAAGTGACATGCGGAGAGCATGCAGTGGCCTGTGCCGGGATCTGTTCATGTAACCAGGCTGGTCTGCAACACACAGCCACCACACCTGGCTAGGGAAACTGGTTTTGAAATCTCTTAAATTCCCCATCACTCTGCCCTGAAACAGAGCACACCTTCCACACAACCACACTCTGAGATCTCAGATATTCTTCCCAAGCCCTGTTCAGGTCGTGGTGCGAACGAACGCTGGCATTGAGGCTCTGGCGTGAGAGCTGAATGTGAGCTATACCCAGGCTCACTCAGGTTATCTGCATGTGCACTATAACCCAGGGCCTCAAGGACACACGCCAGAGCACTCTGTTGGTTCCACACATTTCAAAGTTGCTCATGGAAATGAGTGACTCACTCCACAGTGACACATCCTCAAATGTTGGTCACACACCATGAAGGAGAATACCATTGGCACTTTGCAGAGATGTACTTCAATTTTTGTAGAGAATTCCCCTTGGGATTTCAGGCTTGGATCATTACTTCCGTATATTTGATTGACAACATTGGCTGTGCGTTTGTGAGTGCCGGTGCAATGGTGAAAATCAGTGTAATATTTCATTGTGTTGTGCTTGGTGCAGAACTGGAAGTTTCTGTAATAAACGAGTTGGATGAAAGACTTCCAAATATCAAGCCATATGAATTCTGAATCTTTGTTTTTAAGGTGCTTTTATTATTTTTTTCTGGTGTGTTATCATATACAATACTTAGTTCTTTACTTGGAAAAAAAACCAAAACCCTTGATGTGGGTGGGCTAGGGACATGGCTTGTCGTGCAAGCTCGAATATCCAAGTTCTGTTCCCACCATCCATGTGTGAAGCCAATGAGGAAGTGTGCACTTGTCATCCCAATGCTGGGGGAGGTCACAAAATAATCCTATACTAGTTCAGAATTAGGTATAAAAAAGGGTTATTTACTTAGGGGAGACTCACAGATCACTGTCCTGGGTCACAGTCCTCTGCACGAACTGGGAACAGGAAGACAGTCTAAAACAAGAGAGCGAGCACAGGCTTTACAGCTGCATTTATAGTATAAGAGACTATACCCAAGTGGGCTGGTATCTTAAATGCTATCGGCTGAAGGAACAGAAGAAGCAAAAGGAGCTCCCATGGCAGGAGGTGGGGATGGCTGGCTCCCTGGCACTGGCTAGACAGACAGCCTAGGGGAATCCATAAGCCCCAGGTCCCAGTGAGAGACCCTGCCACAATAAGCATGGTGCATTGTCCCTGAGGAGGAACAATACCTGAGGTCCTGGCTTCTACATGCCTGGGTGTACCAGTGCATGCACCCATCCAAGGGCCTGGACACAGATGGATGGGGACACACACACACAAATAGTCCTTAAGTTTGGAAACCCTTCACTGTGGGAATCAGCGTATTTTCTGTTAAGTTTGAGTTCATATGGGTCATCATACCAACCCTGTTTATCCCTGAGGCAGATAGAGATAAGAATGTGTTCTTCCCATGGAAGAAGAGAATTCTTGTGGTTCCCCGTACAACCTACATTGGATTGTCAAGCTGAGAGGCCTGTTTGGAATAAGCAGGCTCTTCCCTTGCCTGGAAGGATTTTTGGGGAGCCCGGAGGCACAGAAGAAGGTTTAGTATGCGGTGTCGGAAAGGTCCTACCCCTCCTCACTGTGTACCATGTAGGATGCTTGCACCTCATATCCACTGCCCTCTTGGACATTTGTCCTTAGTTAGTTTTTCATTTCTTAGGAATCCATCATAGCCCTTGGCCAGTTTGATCATTTAAGATGAGGACAGTCATGTACTATTAACATGGCTCACTAGTAATGGCAAGATGCTTCCTATAAATTCTGCTTTGGCTTTTAGTGTTTAGGGAGTGGATAGAAGAGTATATCCCTAAACATTAAAGGTATTGCTGAATAAAAATAGAGGCTGAGTTCCTCATGCAGTCCAAATCCCAACTGCCCCTTGGGTGCCTGTAGACTCAATGCATCTTACCAGAAGAATAAACCCTTGAACTTATCTGTACACCATTCTACCCGACTGCAATGTTTATGCTCTTATCTGAAGTGGAAAACAGGATAGACATGTCTGTAGGCCGTCCGTCCGTCCGTCCGCCCATCCATCCAATGTGTTCTCTGCCCTTTGACACCTCACCCCATGGTGGCACCCGAGGTTCTCCTGTGCCCCACAGCTCACACCCCCATGCAGACAGAACTTAGACATTCCCACTAATGAGCTGTGATCACCTATGCATTTGAAGAGCTTGGTGTTGTGATTTCAAAGAGTAATAGGCCTCTGTCTTGCCATCAGGGCTGAGAACATAGATGACAGGTCTCAGCCATCAGCTTTGGGGTACAGAGTGCCCTTTTGTAAAAGATAAGTGTAATCCTGAACTGGAACCGTCATGGAGGGAAGTTAAAGAAGCCCCGTTTGAAACAAGTTCTGGGACTAAACACAGTCCAGCAGGCCTGAGGTCCCAGCATCAGAGCAGAGACCTGTAACCCCGCCCACTCACCTCACTTTGTCTGTGTTTTCCACCATGACTGTGCAGTGTGAAGAGCGCTGGACTCATCCCCTTGAACGTAGGAGGGGCAAAAGCCCCCTAAGATTTCTCCCTTTTCTAGTCAGCTTGCATGAGGATCCCATTTCTGCCTTGGGAATGGCAAAGATTGCAGGTGGACCCTTTGTCTGCCCGGATTTTGCATGGTTTCTGGGGAATCTGAATGCTGGTCATGGGTGGTCTGGAACTCCATTTATATTCAAGGATGACTTTGAATTTTGATCATTTTCCCTCCACCCCTCAAGTGCTGGTACCATAGGTATGTGCCCTGGTGACTGGTTTATTTGATATTGGGAATTGGAACCAGAGCTTCCTGATTGCTAGGCAAACACTGCCATTTGCCCTGTATCTCCAGCAAGGCCTTTACATTTTTAACCCCTCTTTCAATCCTGTGGCATCAAAGAGGACAATGGATGTCGCTTGTGGTGCAAGCCAGGCTTGGTCCCCAGGGAAAGCAGAGTATGACAATGACCCTGGAAGTCAGTGGAAGCCAATGGCCACCGGGGGGCACAGTTGGTTCTGGTTTGGCCAAATGGCCTTGCACCGGAACCTCTGCTTTTCTAAAAGGCCTCTCCCTGCATGTAGCTTGCAGCCCAGCCAGGCTGTGGATCGGATTTGTATAGGGCAGGGGGGTTTCTTCAGGGGACTGTTTGAGTATTGATGTCCCTCAGATTGGCTCCACCTGAGGCCAATCTTAGTGGACTTTGGAGGCTGGACAGTCTGTCTGTTTGGATTTAAAATGCGTTCTTCGTAATTCTCTAAGTCTAGTTTGGTCCTGGAGGAGCAGGGAGTTTGTTAAAAATACAAATGTTGGGGATCTTACCTTGTCCTACTGACCTAATGGCTAGGGTCCCTGAGATACATTTCAATAAGTCCTTGTGATGTTCTGGATGCATGCATGTGCTGTGAAGAATGCAGCCAGGGCCTGTGCTTACACCTGCCTAACATCTGGCTACCTCAGGAATGCTGTTCATTTGGGACTCACATCTGCTCCACCCCACCCCGCTCAAGCCGGGTGAAAAATAACACCCACAGCTCATCTTAGAAAGAACCTTGGAGACCCAGCCACAGGTATTTCCTTAAGTCACTAGGTGCCTCATGACCCTGTGGTTGGAGGCATCCACTCAGATCTGCCTTCCAGAGGCAATCTCAGCTGGGGGTCACTGAGCTGGGAGGAGGCCACAGGCCTGGCAGCCTAGGTAGAGGAGAGAGCAGGGAACAAGGCAGAGGTGGAGGTGCCCAGATTTCTAATGGTCCCTTCCTCCCTGAAATGGTTGGGAATCTCGAGGACCCTGTCCCGGTGCCAGCGATCTGTTCACTGGTGCAGGAAGCCCATTCAGCCTGCTTTGCTTTTAATGCATTTTGCAAGCAAGTGGCCTCTTCCTGAGTGTGTGACTCACTCTGCCTTTTGTGCGCCGGAGGTCGCGGTTTGAAGTTTCACTTTGGAAAGTAACCACCAGCACCACCGCTTTCTCCTGAGGCTGGAACCCCAACAAGTCACATTCATTTTGCAACAAAGAAATGTAAATGGAGGCGCAGCCAGTCATGTTTCTGCCCTGATTGTAAAAACATCCTTTTCCTGAGATGGTCTACAAGCCAAGATGAGGAGAAAGGGTTTACAGTTTCAAGGCACACATTCATTTCAGGGCTTTGTGTTTTCCTTCTAGAACTCCTTGTCGTTTTGATCTGTTTTTCAGGGTTATGAGAGAGAGAGAGAGAGAGAGAGAGAGAGAGAGAGAGAGAGAGAGAGAGGGAGAGAGAGGGAGAGAGAGAGAGGGGAGAGAGGAGGAGAGAGAGAAGAGAGAGAGGAGAGAGAGAGAGAGAGAGAGAGAGAGAGAGAGAGATATAAACATGGTGCTAGTTGATTGGGCAATCCATCCCCTAGCTGACTGAAAGTGACTCAGATCTGGACCACAGTTTGGGTTCTCACTACACAGAAAGAATGATGCTAATAGAGTTGATTGAAAGTGTATTTATTCAACTGGATCCTCTTTGGCTATCAGTCCTGGGCCCTGCACACGTGCATTTCTTAAGCCATACGGGGTTAAGTGGGTAAATGCTGCAGAGCGATTTCTCCCCTTAAGTTTAAAGAGTCTTCTTCAAAATGTTGTAGAATTGAGCCACATTATTGTCACCACCATTATTTTTAAAGTCTTTTTACGCATATGAGTGTATTGACTGCTTGTATGTAAGTACCACGAGCATACCTGGTACCAGTGGAGGCTGGAAGAGGGGACTGGATTCCTCTGGACCCGGAGTTCCCTGTGATTGTGAGTGGCCCAGCAAGAGTGCTGGGAACCAAGCGGGAGTCCTCGGAAGCTGCTGAGCTTACCTCCAGCTCAGTTTCTTACTAGTATTTTGAGATGGGATTTCAAGGAGCCCAGGATGGGCAGAGGTGGATGTGACCAGGTTTCTAATGGTCCCTGCCTCCCTGAAAAGGTTGGGAACCTCGAGGAGCCTGTTCCGGTTCCTGCAACTGGAACTTGCTATGTGAATGATGATGGGTCTGCCTTCCCCTCCATTACAGGTATATATCACTACACCTAACGTGTGGTACTGGGGATCTAACTCTGGGCTTCATGCATGGCAGTCAAGGACCCTAATATGGGAGCTACACCCCCGGCTACCAAATGTTTTTTCTCTAATACTTTTTATGCACAATAATACATCCCAAATGCATTTAAAATCAAGTGCAGCTAAAACGGGAGTGGTCAGAGTCTCACTTAGCATGAATGTGACATTCTGCGAAGCTGATGCTAAATTTGGGTTTATAAGAGATGCATTTGATGCTTCATTTCTCGATTCAGTTCTTTCTGCTTCTGTGCAAGGACGGCTGTCACTTAAATCGTTGTTGTCATTAAACACGGACTGTGACAAGAGTTAGGGTGGACAGTCTTACTCCCCGTGTGGTGTGTGTGTGTGTGTGTGAGTGTGTGTGTGTATGTGTTATGCTGTTGAAGAACAGTTGTGCTTTGTTTCCTCTGGTGCTGGGGATCAAAGCCAGACCTTGTGGATTTGAGGCAAGTCTTCTTTCACTAAGTGCTTTTCCTCAACTCAGCATTGCAGGGTAAGTGGGTGGATATGTCACTGGGTTTGACAAGGTACTTTA